CAGATGATGGATTTTATTACTTTATATGGCTAAAATACTATTGTTCTTTATCATTTACCTCTATTAAATATTTAAGACCCTTACACGCTTTTTTGTGTTCACGTAGGTTTGTTTCATATTAGTATGTTATGTTAATATATGCTAGATTCTTGGGATCCCAACAATTGATGCTTTTATAAAAATTTGTTTTGTAATTTAAAGTAGATTAATATACTTTCAATTTATCATTAATCATTCATGGGTGAAATGTCACTGCGGCAGTATATTTAAATAACAACTGTAAATTAAAACAAATGCGACGTTGTAGTAAATTACAGTAATTTATTATGTATTTTTGCGTAGTATGCATTATAACCATGGCATGAAAAAGCATGTTTACACTTATTATTAATAATAGAACTAACGCATATTTATATCGCATATTCAAATTATCTTTTACGCAATAGGATTCATCAAATCACGTTCAAAATAATGCTACATAACATGCAAGTGAATGGTTGTAAATTAATTTTTAAATTTTGATGAACAGTGGTCGCATTTTGTTTGTTTCAAAAATAATTTATGACAAATGAAATAACCTTAATGTTTAATGTCATAAAGCACTTTATCCTATTTTATCTTTATCTTGAATTTAACAAAAACAATTGCCGACACTATTGGGTACAATATGTTTGATTCATTCCCTCTTTGATAAAAACGAAGAAAAAAATCATAACACTCCATATCAACAACCAATTCATTTCCCTAAAACAAATATCAAGTCCTTGTTTCTCATAGCGTGCAATTACGAAATACGAAACTTGACCTGTCATGTTACTGATTAAGGACAGTTTCCATTAAAGTATATCAAATTACACTTGATTGAGTTCTTGTAAACATTGTTTATCTTTCACGTACTATTGAGCACGACTTTGGAAATCGCTTCTAACAATTGTGCGTGCGAGTCGTTTGTTTATTGATAACTGTCAAATTTTAAACGATTTTTATTCACAAATAGGATAACAGTTTGCTGCACTTGACACAAAAACCCTTGTCTAGGTCGAGTTGTTTAAAAATTAAAATTGTTATGAGATAGTTTTTTAAAAGTTTTATGATTATTGCTTTTAAATCCAATGTTGTTAATATAAAGTCATCAAATCTTGATTAATATAAATAATTATCTGAAAAGAAAGTGATACCTCGGAAGCATTATAACAGCAAAATTAAATGAAAATTGAAGACTCGGTTTGATTGATTCTGTACATGAGAGATAATGAAAAACGTTCAACATTCCGCACGCCCCCTATCACCGCCTTGAGCAGTACTCAATTCTCAACACTAAATGATGCTGGACTCAATGATCCCGGAAAATATAACATATAAATACAAATAGCTCTTTTCAAACTGTCTAATTATCTACTTTTATAGGTGTTGTTTCTGTTTACAAAATATCGCTTAGCTTCACATAATATCGCTTAGTTTCGAATAATATCGCATTTATTTCCTATGCTTTACAAATATTTAACTACATGTTTACGGCTCCTCATCTATTAACATTTCTTAATTTATTAATGATACCACCGAACGATTTTTATATGTTTTATATTTCTTATTTCTCAAATTATATTGCGTTGTTACTTACAAAACTGATTAATAACAATTTCTTTTAAAATACTTAAATAATTTCCGAGAACAAATACCTTGGCAAATGCAAATTTGTAACATTTAAGTATACAAGATTAACAATTGCCTTATATCAACGGATTTCAGGCTTTATTAAGTTGCAAATGTTATAAACAATGTAATTCCTAATGACCAATGAACAGTTTGTATATATAAGGCAATTATTAGTTAAACTTTACATTTTGGGAATTTTTATAATAATAAGGTCTGTTGTTTCCTTTTCATTGAAAAATGACAATACGCTATTTTTATACCACAATCTAATATCTTTGGACATTTTAACAAAGACGTAGACAGGCACCAATCTATTCAATTGCTTTTTTCTCCTCAAAGAGCACGATTGGATTTCTACAGACAGATGTTTATTCCAGGATAACGATACTAAATCCCTTTCAATAATGTCAATGAAATGAAACGTAGACTAATCTAACAGTTAAGGCAAATTATAGCTGGAATATCATGCCATGGCACTGATTCAAATAAGGGATTTTACAGAAGTTATGGCTTGCTTTTTGGAGTTTAACAAATTCTTCTTTTCTAAATATTTGTTAAACGTACATCATACTATTCATACTATTGTATAATCTAAAATTAATATTTACTCAGAATACCTGAACAATTTCAAATACTGGTTTTAACAAAATGAAACATTTTACAGTAAAACATTATTAAGTTTAATTATTTCTTCAAAACGCTTGACATAGGTTTTGCTGTGTGGTTAAATTTTAAACAAAATAACTGCACGAAGCTCAGTTCATTTAAACTTGTTTCATTGACGGTAACTAATTGATCTAAAAATAAGATAAAAGTTTTTATCTGAATTGTCATGCAGTGACAATAATAAACACGTTGATATTTTACAGGAATTTGTATTGGTTTTTTTAAGGTCGATTTCTTTAAGGTTTTGTTATTGTAACCTGTCTTTTCAAAATCATTTTGCACATACAGTACCGTGTGTGTATTTCTTGATGTTCCATTTTCATTATATTATATAGAAGTGAAAAAAGGTTGTGAAATTAACATGAACTTAAGCTTGTGAAATTAACGTGAACATATTTATAACCGGTCTCAAAGCGTTATTCATTTTGTCAATAACGCAATCTACACATAAACATTTACTGTAATGAGAAGACAATCGCAAACATAACATTTCTATTAAATGTTGTGGATGTAATGTTTTCAAATTCTATATGTTTTGATGTTGGAAACATTGTTTCCCCATAGACAGTTAGCAAATTTTGCGTGGTAACTTCAAAGAGCAATTATTAAATATTAAAGAGTATAAAAAGGGTGTATTTAGCGGCGTTTTAACCATAAGAACAAACGTACGACAAAATCGTATAGGAATATGTCTCAAAATGAATGAATAGCTTAATATTGTCGTCGTGATCATATTAGCCATAAAATTAATGAATATCTTAATATTGTGGTGTTAACTTAGTTACGGTAAAACAAACATAACAGAAGCTGGTAAAAATGTGTTAAATGTTTTATCATCGTCATCCCTTAAGGTATGAGCCCCCTAATGGGCACTATTACGAACTATAAAATTGACAACATAGGTCAGTTATTTACCTTAAAAGACACAAGAATGCAAAATCTAAACAAAGTTTACCGTATGGTGTACGAGTTATGGAGATTTTTCTTAAGTAAAACTTGGCTATTAAAATGGCTCTTTTTCAGAAATGAGAAACTCTAAATTTCTATTTTATAATCATTGAATAAAAAAAATGTTTTCCTATAGAACATTTTTAAAAGAAACAAATAATAGCATTCAGCTAACAAATGACTCAGCAAAATTATTGTTTCTACTCCAAATGTTTGAAATATGTATATAAATGTTACCCTACCCCACCCATTTTAATTAGTTGTTTGATCTTTTTTCTTTTTGGTGGGCTTTATTCAAAATATCCCTAAAATTAACTCAAATCAGGGGCTGTTTTCAAAGTTTGCATAAATTTTCTTAAAAGTATATTTGTTGTGCTTGTCAAATATACATTTACCGTCTAGTTTTTATTTTATTAGACTATTTTATCAGGTACCATATTTGATAATAAATTTGGCACAATTTAGCCAATAAATACCAATAATAATTTCATAATTAAAATAAAACACTTTTTTCTTCTCAAGAGAGATCTGAGAGACACAAGTAATGTTCAAAGAAAAGAAAAAAGAAAGGAGAAAAAAGTTACCTCTTCTGTAGCTTGAACCCGCGCCCCTCAGTTACAATGCAGTTGACAGTAGTTCTAGCATATTTGAATACTCTTCATAGTGGAGGTAATGCATTAGGTGGATCATACCTTGAATAGTTCATATTTGCAATGTAACTTCTGTTACAGTAGTGCATTTAAGAGATCAGAAAATGTACCACAAGTGGTTAGTATGTATGGAATATCGTTTAAAATAGATACATTGTTTTACAGTGCGAAAAATTCTAACATCAAAGCTTATTTAGATTTTTTTCTGTTTTAAATATTTAAGAGCCGTTAAACGATTTGTCATCAGTTTGAATAAAGGTGTAACCAAATGTGACTTTCATTAAAAATTTATTTCAATAACACAAAATTATTTATAAGAGTTCGTCATTTAGAAACATTATTTGAATAAACATTCATACTATTTGAACCATTTGGACTAGAATTAAACTAGATTCGTGATCAGCTGCAAGATGTATGATAGTGTAGAGATTTTTTTTTATATTGATTACGTCATGTTTACAAACAATAATGCCCCAACGGAGGAGATTATGAAAGTAAAAGAGTCCTGATAAGATCACAAGCATGAAACCCGTTATAGTTTTGTCGCCATTGATCTTTGGTTATTAATTGGATGTTTGCCTGTGATCACGCCCCTTGTGTAATTAAATGGTGAGAATTGTTATTTTTCAATATTTATATGGCATCTGAATTCACGACAATGAACCTTTGAGACCGGTGTAAATTCATTTATGATAAGTTGCAGTAATGCTAATACTATAACTAAGGTGAGGCTTTGCAGAAATGATCCTTTTTTTTGATCGTGTAAGAAAAGTTAACTGACGTCATCAATACATGTGTTTTGCAATATATTTCTCCCATTAAGGTGCGACATTGTCATTAGTACGGTGATTTTACTTCATAACTTATTGAAACTTTTTTAATTCGTTAATCAAGCGTTAATTCAAAATATGTTGTTTAACCTTGTAGAATTTTATTACAAAGATGTATTTCAGTAACAATGGTTAGAAGAAATAAAGATCATTTACAGATATCAATTATTGATTGAACCAACACACACGCAATTCTTTGTTTATCTATGTTATCAAATGATTTTAACGGATATACAAGAAACAAAATAAACACAGAACTTTATCAGACGTTAAACAGGGTGGCTTATTTTAAGTGAATAGACAAACACTGTAAATTGAAACGCGCTGACGCTAGATTTGTTATTTGATACACGGTGCCTTTATTGGAAATTCTGTTGTTGACGTAAATTAGTCGGAGATTGAAAACATGCTTTCTGAAAGTGACAGCGTCACATGCAGACGATATGTGGCAATTGTTACTTAAAGGGGTGTTCCTCCGGATTTCTGACATTTTGTAAAGATTGAATGAAAGTGCCTTTCATTTCTAAACAATTTGTTTGAAATCTAATGTTTTATAATTGAGCGTAGAATCATTGTAAATCGATTTGGATTTAAGTATTATTGTGACTTTACATGTGGATTCAGGAAATTAATTGTAAGGACACCCAAGTTGTTATTTTATTTTAGTTCATAGTAATTTTCTACTTTGTCCGTGTCTTTTTCTCTGTATTAGATACATAAATAAGATTTTATATATACAAAGCTCATCATTTTTGAAATTCAAATTATTTAAAAGTGTTTTATTTTACATTTTCAATGTATCATGTCGATGTTTTTATACAGAAATGAATGGATTATCTTTTGATAAGAGAAGAACAATTTTCCTCATTTTCAGATAAAAGAAGAACAGAGTACAAATATTCATTTTTTCTTGATCAAGTTGTCTTCTTCATGATTAATGATCTTCAACCAACATTTTTTGGACATTTTGATTATTTTTCCAATATCTTTCTCGTAAATTAACAAAATTGGAAACATTTTAGACAGAAGAACATTAGAAATTTTGATTGTTATTTCTTAATGTATTCTTCTTAATAGTTATTTGTTACTATTTTCAGAAGGAGAAAAAACAACGTTACAACTGTGGCTACATAACACGAAGAGATCTGAAATGATGGAAGGTATTAGACAGGCATAAAACAAGCTCTTGTGATAGAAGAAGTTATCAAAGATATGGAAAATATTACATTATTACCTAGTTTAGGATATACCCAAAATTGGAGCATAACCGAAGAAGTGCCTAGGAACATAACAGTCACCGTATTGACGTTTAATGTGACTGCCAATGCCATATTTGGCGATTTTAACAGCAGCACTGAATTGTTGAATACTACTTATGGAACAAACGGGACAACCGGGATAAACACGTCTATTGAAGACGCGCACGTGCAATTTTCACACGTTCCAAAGTATGATACTCCGGTAATGGTGATATTATGTATTCTATTGGCGTTCATGATTCTTGCGACAATTATGGGAAATGTTTTTGTAATAGCGGCAGTAATTCTTGAAAGAAGTTTGCAAGGAGTTTCAAATTATTTGATATTGTCCTTGGCAGTGACGGACCTTCTTGTAGCAGTGTGTGTGATGCCGCTAAGCCTGGTTTATGAAATCAGTGTATATTGGTATCTAGGTAACACAATTTGTGATTTTTGGATCTCTGTTGATGTCCTGTGCTGTACTGCATCAATTCTTCACCTCGTCGCTATATCATTGGACAGGTTTTGGGGTGTGTCAAACATAGATTATATTCGAAGACGCAGTGCTAAACAAATTCTAAAAATGATTGCAGTTGTTTGGTTAGTCGCCGTAGGCATATCATTACCACCTTTGTTTGGATGGAAAGAAGGGCATAATATTCCAGAAAAATATGGCATATGCATGATCAGTCAGAATTTAGTGTATACAGTTTTCTCAACCGTAGGCGCTTTCTATTGCCCGCTTGTTCTTATGGTGTTTTTAAATTTTAAGATATATATAGTTGCTCGAACTCGAATTCGGAAGAAAAACTTTGGCGGGAGGAATAAAAAATCTGGGCCCGGGGAATTAACATGTGCGGGAAATTTAAAAAGTTAAAAAAGAACTTTTGTTTTTTTCTTAAAAATGACCCCAATTTATGGGTATACCCCCGTGTGAAAAGGTTTTTATGGCCGTTTCGACGGCGTTGAACGAAGAAATGCAAATGTCAGAATGTGAGACGAAAGCGCCGCATGTAAACAATGGAAGTTACCTGGCAGTGCCAAATGTCAGACCTATTTATACGAAAAGAACAAATGGGCACATGGATCAAATAGACTTAACTGATGTGACCAATGTAACGGAAATACCAAACTCCGAGGACATCAACAATACATCTCATCAAAACACCACAAAACATTCTGAAAACAACAATCACAAACATGACTTACTGAAACTAAAGAAGAAACGGCGTGAGGCGGACCGTAAAAGAAAAGACAAAATGGAAATGAAGCGCGAAAGAAAGGCTGCTAAAGTGTTAGGAATTATCACTGGTGCTTTCGTTGCCTGCTGGCTCCCTTTTTTCGTATTAGCGGTGTTGGCCCCATTTTGTGCAGAACACTGTAACATCCCGGACACACTGTTCAGCTTCTGTTTATGGCTTGGCTATTTTAACTCGTCATTAAATCCTATATTATATACGATATTCAACCCTTCTTTCCGCAAAGCCTTTCATAAGATTATTTACGGTAAATACCGGATAAGAGATTGATACTTGTTTTTAAATGCATCTCATATATCATGTATTAATGCAACATAATACATTTCAGGAACATTATGCCCCAGAAACGAATATATTTTAACTTCAGTCTTTATAATAATACTTTTAGAGCATGCAATATGTTTGTTAACTGAAAAGTAGTGTATAATAAAGGAAGCGAAATGTACAGAAAGTCGTATTTTGACTTGCACACAAAATACTGTATTACTATAAATGTACTAATAACAAAAAGGTAACAGAATAAAATGTTGGACAATCAGTTACTATAAAAGTATATCAAAAATGAAAAAAAAAACTTTTGAGAAATAAAAAATGAAATCTTTTTTGGGGCATAATTGACCTATTAATGCAAAGATGTGAATTGTACCATAAATCAAAATAATAACTCTCAAAACATCGAGAAATCTTTTGCAATTGAGATTTTGTCTGGTGCATATGAAGCCTTAACTTTAAAATATATATATGTTCTTGAATGTTCTTCTTATGTGTCAAACACTCAATTCATCAAGGCGGCATCTTGTTTACCTCATTTTCATGCCTCAAAACAATATGTATACCAAATGTATGGTATGCATGTGTGTAAGTAAGTACACATGCATTATTTTTGTGTTATATACATATTTTTAAAGATCATAGTCAAAGGTTGTAATCATTATTTTTTCATTTGTTTTAGACTTTAAATGTATATTTTTATTTTTTCAATGGTTAAATGTTACCTACTTTATTATTGAAATTTATACTGCAACCTCATTTTGACATTATAAAATTGTCCGTGTAGTTTGTATTGTTCATTAAAAATAGGCCTTTTTGGTATTCATATGGGAATTTTTTTATAACTAATCAAAATTGCCGAAATATGGAACGAAATATTCACTTCCATTTTCATTTTTTTTCTGTTAAATTTTAAGGGAAAGCATTAATTTTTCGTAAAAAGATAGTGATGGGCTCGTGAAACTTGTTAAAATGGAGATGTGAAAATTACTATCATGGTTTTTATTTATAATAGTTTCTGTGAATTTTGAGAATGCCACCAGATTTGTGTTTTTTACAAAATCTCCACTAAGGTTCAAAATCTTAGAAAACATGAAATAATTAGATAGATCAACTAGGGAACCGAAAACGGGCAAATGCAAAAGGGAATAAATAAAATTCTTCAGTTTTCAATTAATTTATTCATTTTTTTCTTTTTCTTTTATTTCTTTGTGATTCTTAGCACGGTTGGTGCATAAAGTGTTTCAAAACTTTTCATTTCTGGGTCATGATTTACAATTAGAACAAATATTCTGAAAACAAAAACAGAGTGATCGAATAATCTGGAATTTTGTACACAAGTTATTTGGCCAAGACCTACATTAAATGGAATTTTCATCTCGGAAACATAATTTTTTCCAGTCCCGTAATGTCAATAGGCAGTGGAGTCCCTTAAACAGTTTCTTTGATTTTTTTTAGAATGCCGCCAAATTTGTGTTTTTAAAACATAATTAGTGTCTTAATTTAATTATATTTTTCATATTGATTATTTCAAGAACATGTATAACATGTTTTTGATCTTATGATATTTTATTTATAAATGTATTTATTTTTAAAAGAGAAGGCTTGTTTACTTGGAAGTTGCGGCCTAGCATCTGGTTATTATACCTGTTTAATTTGAGTTTTGTGTAACTTTGGAGGAAATACAACAAAACAATTAAGTTTAACATTTTTACTGACAGTTTTTCAATTCTATTTTATTTTCCTCCAGTAACTTGAAATGAAACGTTGACAAATATATTTATTAGCAAATCATGGCGATTGTTGGTAGTTTAAAATATTTTCGATTTAGGTCTTAATATAAGTATTTAAAAATAGCCTTTAAAATAGTCTTTGAAAAATAGCTTACGTTTGTCCAGAGAATCGCTTTATCTTCGTTAAAGCGGCTTTCAGATTTTCTAAAGGTTAAATATTTTTTGAAGAGAAATCGTTTCATATTACGGTAAAATCAAAAGAATTAAGGTGTAAAATGAATTTGTCGCCGATAAAATACATAAACAATACGGAAACCCCTCAATACCTCTAATCTACCGGTCCGCGCTCTAAATGTAAATTAGTAAAACGGAGGATTCGTTTCCCAATCTGCTATTTTTAGAAACGAACGTCACTGTGCGCTATAAATAGCTACCGGGGCGCTGTTTCGAAGAAGGCTTAACGATTATATGATGCACTTTTCATAGGTGATAGTACCGAAAGACTTAATTTGAAACAGTGCCAATTTTTTTCCAATAAATAATTAAAAGCTGAAGGTCGCTTTACAGAAAATATGTTAATAAAGTTTCAATCGTAATATAGTGCCGCTAGTCTTTTCAATGTATAGTATATAATGCTGAAAAAGACCGCGTTTTATAATAGAAGAACAGTGCATTGTTATACAAAAAAAACACCCAAACCACTCTGGATTATATTTTAGTAGAAATTCATTTTTTGACGTTATATCTGACGTAATTATTGCATGTTGAGGTGTAACTTGACCTAAGAATTTATATTTTTATAATCATATGCACTCTAATGTCTTCGTTTTTTGTTAAATCAGGAAACACTGCAAACCGTGTTAATTGAGGGTTTTCTCATTTTTCGGGATTATAATTAAGCGGGTTGCCCTTTCTTGAATTTTTATTTTGTTCCTGTTGATTTTTTTTTATTCTCAAGTTAGTATGAATATGATGTGAGACAAGGCATAGTTATCCCTTTACTTATGTTATTCAAAATCGACGTTAATAAAATATCTCTTTTTTGTATTTTTGTTGAATTATTTTTAAATACATGCGCATGCAAATGTTATTTTTCAGTACCAATTTGACCATTAAATATTTGATTTTTTTAAATGCTAATACAGTGGACATTTGATTTTGTGTAACACTTCGGTTGTTCTATATACATAAATAACTTTGCATAATTTTTAATCACTCTGAAGATTTAATTTATTTTAACGAATATATTTTTTCTTGATATTTGTAGTTTTGTGTTCATGATATAAATTGTTTTACCGTTTCGGTGTCAGTTTAAGTCATTTTTTTATTATATAAAAATATAGCATTTTAAAGATTTGTTTTAATCAATAAAATGGTAAGAAAAATAAGAATGTTTTTGGTGTTGTTTCCCACATCCATCAGAGACGGAGGGCTATTCTTGGCGTTGCCCGTCTGTCAATCCGTCTGCCCGCCCGTCCGTCTTTCCGAACCAATATAAAATGTTCTATGAGCTTCATATCCTTCATAGTTATAGTTAAAAATAAGGAAACCACCCTAAACATTGGTTTTAAGTTGGGATTTTCACGGGTTTGTGTGAAAAAAGGCACATAAAGATAAAGAAAAATATTGGTAGTGTCCGTCCGTCTGTTTGTCCGCCGTCCGCCCGTCTGTCACAATTCAACAAGAGCATAACATTTATTAAAACTAATTACACGTATGGAACTTAATTTAATTTTTCTTTATTTGTTTACATGTCGTTTACTAGAAATGTAGTGTTAAAAGAACTGCAAATATATCTAGCCGTTTGATAACTTTAATTTTACCTTAGTTTTTCATTCATAACTCTCCTAGAAATAAAGGTTTCAACTTAAAACTTCGGTGAGAAAGACCCAAAACATAAAAAAGTTATTAATGTATCAATTAAAACTACACAGATGACAACAGATAGATTACATGCAGTGCAGTGCATATGAATAAGAACTCTTTATTGCATAATTCTTAGTCGTTTAAAAAATACACAGTTTTTTATACCCCGCACAACAAAGTCTGTCCGTTTTTCCTTGTCCGCCCAATAACTTAAGATTTCTTTGACCCACAGTTTTCATATTTAACATGGAGGTTAGTCATGATAAATAGATGACATCTATTGATTTTGATGTCAATAGGTCAAAGGTAAAGGTCACAGGGGCCATGACTGAAAAAGTCTTGTCCGCCCACATAGAGGTTAATCATGATAAGTAGGTGACCCCAAGAGGTCATTGGGTCAAACGTCAAGGTCAAAGGGCCTTTGAAGATATAAAGCTTGTCCGCTCAACAACTTAAGATTCCTTTCACTCACAGTCTATACATTTGGCGTGGAGATTAGTCATGATAAGTAGGTTGGATATGACTGGTAGATGACCCCTATTGATTTTGAAGTCACTAGGTCAAAGGTCCAGGTCAGAAGGGCCTTGACTAAAAAAGCTGGTCTTCCCAATAACTTAAGGATCCTTTGACCCACAGTCTTTATATTCCCATATTGATGTTCTGGTCACTGGGTCAAAGGATACAGGGTCCTTAACTTAAAATATTTGTCCGCCCAGTATCTTAAGAATCCTTTGACCCACAGTCATTATATAAAGCATGGAGGTTGATCACGACCATTGGGTGACCCCTATTGATTTTGAGGATGCTGGGCCAAAGCTCAAGATCACTGGGGCCTTTAGTTCAAAAAGCTTGTCCGTTCTATTGCTTAAGAATGCTTTGGTCAACAGTCTTCATATTTGGTATTGTGGTTGGTATGACTAGTAGATGATCCCTATTAATTTTTGGTGACTGTGTCAAAGGTCAAGGTCACAGGGGCTTATACTACAATAAGTTTGTCCGCTCAAATGCTTAAGAATGCCGATCTAAAGTGTTATCGATTTTGACATTTTTTACATTTGGAGCATATAATTATGTTTTCATATATTCATTTTAAAACACCCGAAGGCAAAGCTGCATGAATGGGGGAATTCCAGTCATGCAGTGGCAGTTTCAGTTTTGAGGTCAAATGTAAAGGTCTCTTTGATCTCTGTCACAAAAAACATGTAAAATACATAATTCAGCAATGCAGTGGCTTACTACCCTCAAATTTGGTAGTAGTGTGGTAAAAGGTTGTCCTTTAGCTTTAAATGACCACTGTCGATTCTGACAAAGTGGTATGTAGGGGCAGTGCAGTTCTAGTTTTTAAAGCACATACATAATTAATCTTATGGCAAAATACGAGTTGTTTTAGTACATTTACAATAATTAAATATTTATAAAAAAGAAGTGCCATTTTTTAATATATAACAGTTACAATTCGAATTAGACTAACCTTTTTGTGTGGGTGTGCTAATTCTTGCCCCTCCTTGCATTATTTCAGGCACGGAAATGGGGGTACCGAACAATATCAATGATTACAATGCTTTGGTTAAATAATATTATGAAGATAATATCAGATACGCTTTCGCAAACAAGATTTTGTTTGCATATCGTTTATATTATTAGAGTTTTAGAGGTGTTCTCGTGATAATTAATTGAATTACACAGCATTAGGATTTTACAGAGTAACCGGGAAACTGTTTTAAAAGTAGATAAGTTGCGTGAATTTGTAGTTTGATATATGTGTCTGGTGATCATGAATTATTTAGTTTTAGTATGTCCGTGGAAGTCTTGAAAATTAATTGAAATAAACATATTTGTTCTGTAAAAATGATCAATCATTGTATATAAGCAATCTTTCTTCATTACAACCCGTCCATTTCTGGATTTACATAGCAGTTGTCTATATTAATAATAGATGTTTTTTGCCATAAACAAACTATTGAAATTAATGATACCGCCCACCCTGCTTCGTGCTTTTCCAAACAAAATACTAAAGCAGTTTCAAGGATTTGGCAATTTGCCAAATTTACCAGAAATTATAAATGGTCACGATGGTTAAATAGTTTAAATAAAATGCTTGACAAAAGTAAAATAAAAATATTGACTATTGCTATTTGAATTACAAAAATTATACCAACATTTTGTATTTTGGTATGGTATAAATTTTATAAAGTTTTCTGTGTAAAATGGATATTTTTTCGTTTGAACGAAATGTGGAATATATTTATACGAAACATGATAAAAAGCCCGGCTCGTGAAAATATGTGGCATTTTATCATGTTTCCATATTTCACGAAAAAACGAATAAAAACCTTTTAATTTGATTTCATTATCAAAGGTAAATGGTTATGAATCCTCCTTATTTATTTTAACAAATAACAAATATATTTGACTAAAAACTAAAAAGGCACAATATTCCATCGGTAAAATTAAATAAATACTAGTATTTGAATATGATGTCATTTAAACCTCTTTCGTCGTAAATATGCTTGCCCCTTTAAACAGCAGTTGCAAGTACTATACTGCGCTAGTCTAGACAAAAAGCATAGGGGACTCGTATGAGCATAATTGCACCGATTTGAACGCCAAAGACCCCACATTCTTAAATATGATTTTTAAATCTAAATAGCGTCAAGTTATAAAAAACATTTCGGACAAAGTCCGTCTGTTATCAAAATAACTTTCTGTAAAATTAACAGTGAAGGACTGACTTTTAGAAGAATGTTCATAGTTCATTTGAAAATTACAAACAGAAATCGGTAAATCTTATTAGTCATTCTATAATAAAATGTTAAGGACAGTTCTAATCATTCATAAATAAAATGTAAAGAATAGCTCTAAGATAAAATGTTAGGGATAGTTAAATGACACCTTAAATAGAAGCTCCTTTTGAAAAATCATCATTATCAATATGCTGTGATTTGATTTCAATGTTAACAAAATGCGTATTTTCTTAGCTGCAAGAAATAATTATAATGTCATTGATATGCAAGACTTGCTTTTCGTTTTGTATTGAAACCTTAGAAATAACATAATTTTGCATGTTAACCAGTTTAACTTCGTCCGAGTATCTTTTTAAAATACTTCTTGTTTTTACTATTTTATATACCTTTGTTTTTTTAATATCTAAATATATTTTTGCATTTGTTGGCATGTGCCTCCTACAGACAAGTGGAATGAAAGAAACTTAAGTGGACATATCCTACAACCTCTAACATTTTATTGTTTCGTGAAAACATAAAGGTGCTAAAACAGTTTGCACATACAAACAATATTACAGTGACGTTCAAGAATTTTGCAGACATAAGTCAACACAATGGATCGCATGTTAGAAGATTATCTCAGCGTGCTGCTGCTCATTCCAACCATTTGCGTAGGAGTACTCCTGTCTATATTGCAGCATTTATAAACGGCCCAGGTCAAAGCCAGTCAAATCACGATATGATGATGTAAAAGTTTCAATTGTAAAAAACGACAATATGATTTTTGGCAGGCCTCCAAATATATTCAGTTATTCATATAATGTCATATTTAATATATACGAAGACGTGTTGGAGTTTGCTGCGAATACAATATATAGTCTTTTATTGCTAGACTTTACTACTAAGCAGCCTTCTATAATGCATAAAATAGTTCTTCGGCGCCTTCGTGCTACCATTGCATTTCAAACAATATAGTGGTATATGTCTAAAATATTTTAAAGAATTGTATGTAACTGATGAAAGGTAGCGTTAACATATTTACAATGTTTGTAGTAATAGGAATCTAAGGAGTTATACCATCTTTAATAGAAATGTT